CAGCCTCTCCGTTTGATCTGCGGTAACTCCTCAGGACCGAAGAGGAAAAGAACCAGCCCAAAGCCCAAAGCACTAACTAACCATGAAGAAGCAACTGGAGGAGTTGGGTGAGACCCTATTTTTCCTTCTCTCCCTCCCAACTACCTTCCTGTAAAAACTCTTGAAATATCCTTTTTTCCCCAGTTTAATTCTGCGGCTTTTGCTCACTCCGGGAAAATAAAGCTAAGAAACAAAAAAGGAACAATAAGATTAAATGATTACATACCTGGACTTGTAATATCTGGATACCTGGGCTCCCCAAAAGCTCTGTATTTCTACAAAAATGTACTGCTTTACTCTTTTGTTAACTCAGGGGGGAAAAGGGGAATACTTTTTTTTCTTTTTCCTTTCTTGAACCGGACAAAAGCCCTATTCTGTATGTTACTGGGGACATTTTGTGGTGAAATTTGGTACAGCAAGTGGAATAAATTTTTTCTGACTGGGAGACCTCTGAGACTAAAATTTGTCCTTGACAGCAACCAAAAGATAAGAACTTGAAACAGCTGGGTGGTGAAAATATCTCTTTACAAGTGGAGGTGGACAGTTATTGACTTTTATTAAAAATAGCCTCCACTAAAGGACTATTTGTAAACATTACAGAAATGGAGGAACACCACCCACAGCTAAATGTTAAACTTATACTCAAAAAAATTCTAGAGGCTACTGAGCTAATGAATTCTAGAATGAAAGACTTATGTGCCACTTTAAAGCCACAAAATGCAGCTTTAACCCCATTAGAGGAATCCACACTTCAAAAACCAACAGAAGAAGGAACTAATAACAAAGTGGATTTTAAAAAATGCCAGCAACAGTCTACTCAGAACTTTGACACCCAAACTTTGACTTCACTTAAAGACTTTACAACTACAACAGCAACAGAAATTGAACAAAGCAATGCTAAGATGGAACCTGCAGAGGATTTACGACAACACATTGAGATTCTAGACAATCTAGATGATCCAAAAACAACTACAACATCGAACATGACTGTTTATCTAATCCAGATGAAACCAGAAGAAGACCAGCCTGAACGTATGATAAATATATTAACTCAGATATGGAGATTTAAACCATTCGGCCAACAACTCAACGACTGTGAAGGGACTGGCTTCCTTGATAGGCTGATGATTGGATGTTTCAAATGATATATGCAGGAAAGAAGGGAGAGCCACTTGAGGATCTAAAACCTCTTTTATGGAAGCCGGCTTGGCATAAAAGGAAGGCCAGAGTTAGACTTAAAAAAATGGTTTTCTTTGTGTGATACCTAATGGAAGAGCTTTAAATTTTATATAATGAGCCAAGGAGATTTTAAAAGATATTATTGGATTTAATAGTTAGGTCTATATTTATAAGGGAAATAAATTACTTAAATAATTGTTTTGAATTATAAATAGAAGATGGATTTAGAGGATAAAGGTCATTTTATGAGTAAGCGATGATATTAAAATGAGAATTAGAATATGATTGTGAAATAAATTAAGAATGTATTGGAAAAAATAATAAGTGTATTTTAGACATGATATTATTTTGTATGAATTAAGGGAACTGGGGGCTATCCAAAACTTATATATTATTGGACAGTAAGCCAACTGGATCATCGTAATTGAAACCAGACAAAAGTTAAAAACAGGATCTGGAGATATATAATCTAAAAGTTGTTTATAAATGTTTTAAATGATTGAGTTATAACTAGCAATCTACTAATTTGAATTTGATATAATAACTAAGAGAAACAGAGAGGAAATTTCTGATGATGTAAACTGATATATGTATGGATAAGCATGTTATTGGACTTTGTATTACCCAACCACCATGTTTCTTCCTTTTTTTTTTGTAAAGATTTTATTGTTTTTTTTCATCAACATATGTTAATTTTTCCAATCAACAAGTTGTCTGGAGTTTGCTATGCTAGTACATATTCAATTCCTAATCCTTCATTCTTTCCTCTAGCCAAGAATAAAATAGGTTCCAAATTTGATAGTAGTCTGTATCTTCTTTATCTTTCAACCTCATAGTTTTGAACTTTATTTGGCAAGGGAAAAAAGCTAGAATTAAGATGAAAACATTACAAGATGCTAAGGAAAATGGAGGTTTTGGATTGCCGGAATGGATGTTGTATTACCAAGCATCTGTGTTAACATGGGTGAAAGAGTGGATAACACTTAGAAACAAAAGGATATTGTATTTAGAGGGACATGATTTACAATTGGGGTGGCATGCTTTCTTATGGTACGGAAAAAACAGAGTCCATAAGTACTTTCAAAATCATTTTATAAGAAATGCCTTGTCAACAGTATGGGAAAAAATTAAAGCTAAAATATATTTAAAAATTCCAGGGTGGTTATCAACGATGGAGGCATTTATACATCCGAACTTGGTAGACTTTGAAAAAATATGGACATATAAAGATATTCTAGATATTGATGGGAAATTAAAATCTAAACAAGAATTGGAAAATCAGGGAATTAACTTGTCCTGGTGGGCACATTTACAGATACAACGTAGATATGAAAAAGATGTAAAAATGTATGGATTTTATAAGGATCAAACTGTGTTTGATAAGATTTTGTTAACCTCAGATGAGAAATTAATCAAGAAAATGTATAACTTTTTGTTAATTTTGGATATGGAAAGTGAACAAGTGAAAGAAACAATGACAAGATGGGTAAAAAAAATTGGCTATAATATAGAATTAGAAAAATGGCAAATGTTATGGGATAGAAACTACAAATTAACAATGTCAACCTCATACAAAGAAAATCTGTACAAAATGTTTTATAGATGGCACCTGCCACCAGCAAGATTAGCAAAAATGTTTAAAAATATGTCAGATAGACGTTGGAAATGTAAATATAACATAGGCACATATTATCACATTTGGTGGACATGTGGTAAGGCAAAGGCCTATTGGAGAAAGATACATATGTGGTTAGAAAAAATATTGGGTGAACAAGTGGACTTTAAACCTGAACTTTTTTTTACTAGGTATTATGCCTGAAAAGACTAATAAGCAGAAATTAGATTTAATCCTACACATTACTACAGCAGCGAGAATAATTTTTGCACAATACTGGAAGAATGAAGGACTGCCATCAGAAGAAGAAATAATCAAGAAAATATTGGAATGTGCAGAGATGGACAGATTAACATGTTGCTTCCTTAAATACCCGAAGGTTTGTAAAAATGGAAAATCAATAAAACTTGTTTAAAAAAAAGTTTCTTATTTTATTATATTTTTTTACATTGTTATACTGCCAAAATCCAAATACACCTGGTGCTATAACATTACCTAATGACATAGTTTGTAAACATGAGCAAAGCTAGCTGATTTCCAAATGCCAGAAAAAGCTAGCTATGAAGCTCAAGCAATGGAGGTAGTTTTTCATGGCAGCGGGGAAGTGTTCTGGTATACAGGAGCCTCTGGAGAGTAACTGTTCCATATCCTAAAAGTTTTGCATTGTCAAGCTACCTCTGTAACAGGGCCCTGGGTGCCTATCTGGCAGCTGTCCAAGCGACCTCAAACAGAAAGCACATTGTGAGTCTTGTTGACAATTTGGGCAAGGAAGGAAAGTATAGAAAAAGTTTAACAAAAGGACACTATCTATGCTTTAGGACTGATATCGCTGGAGCCAAAGCAAGTCTCATTTGTCTTAGCTGGCCAGTATTGACATTTTTTGCTTTCAGTATTAATTGTTGGACTATTACTGAAATCTATATAAGTCTTTAAGAAGCCCTGAGGCAGAACATTCATTTTAGCACTTTCTTTTTCTCACATTTCCTTCTAACTTCATCCCATAACAAGATATTTTTTTCTCAGTTATTCTTGTCTATTAAAGTCTATGGCCTAGTAAGCATATGAGGGGAAATCCAAAATTATGAAATAAAGCGGAGAGGGTATAGGTAGTCCTCATCTTACATCCAGTTGCTAAGTGACCTTGTGAAATTAAAATGGAACCCCCAAAAGCTACTTAGGACTAGTTTCAAAGTTATGGCTGCTGTAGCACCCCTGTGGATATATGCACAAAATTCAGACACATTTGTCCTTATAACTGACCACAGGGATATTGCAGTGCCCCCTCCCAGGACTTGGCCTGTTTCCCATCCCACTGAGTCTCAACCTCTCCTCCCCATCCCCATCACTGATTACACACTTTGGGAGAGCTCAAGAGCTTGTGTTAGGGAAGGAGGGCAGGAGAGTCCTCCCTAGGATGTATTGCTTAGTCCTGGAGGCAGTCACCATTTTGGAGTAGCCATATTGCAAACATTTCAAAAATAGTGCCCGCTTCCAGGACCAAGCCACACAGCCTGAGGGGTGGAGCAGTCTACCTTCCTTCCCCAACATGAGATCTTCCAAAGGTAAGTGTGCAATCAGGCATGTTGGGTGGGGAGAAGAGGTAGGATCTGCTGGAGGGGAAACAGGCCCAGGGCGAGCAAGGATCCTGAGGGCCAGGAAACAGAACATAGAGTATTTCATGGAGTTGGGGAGGCCTTGAGAGGTCCTGGAGCAGGTGGAGGGGCTGCACTAGGCCTCCTAGGATCTTCTCCACCCCCGAGGCATCCTGCACTCTGCTTAGCCCACAGAATGGCTTAAAGGAGGCATCAAGGAGAACAGGGGTGGAGCTCATCAAGCAAGGTGATCATATGGATGCCTCACTTAATGACCATTATGATTTGCAACTGTAATAGGCAGGCTCCATTACAGTCATAACTTAGTGTTAAGTATTTGGTTCTTGAAGGCATTAAGCAAGACAAGTGTTGAAACAGCAACAAGTTTATTTAACTCTGAACAGAAGCAGTTCAAATAGCTGCTGTGCAGCTATTTATATGGTTAGCCTCCAGGCGGCAACCAATAGGTTTAAAGTAACAGTTTCCCACCCAAAACCTAATTACCAGCCTGGAGACAGCAAGTCTGGCTTAAGTAACAGCAGCCGTTACATAACAACAGAATTTAGGTCAGACATTCAAACCTTTACAACCACTGCTGCCACACACAAAGCCCCTTGCCCGTAATTCCGGGTCCAAACCCGGTCACCCACTTGCAGACTTCTGGGCGCCTTTGGCCATGCAGAGTTCGATGCAACTCGGTCGGGGTGGAGCCTGTCCAGCTTAGTGATCAAACGTCGGCCCCAACGTAGCTTGGCTGGGCTTCTGCCCATGGCTATGCACAGAGTTGTACGCTGGCAGAGTAGAAAGTCTGCCAATCTGTGGTGCCAGTTTCCTGTGACAATCCATTTTAGGGACTCCTTGGTTGTGTGGACCATGCGTTCCACTTGGCCATTCGAGGCCAGGTGAAAGGGAGCCAACATGGTGTGCCTTATGAGGTTTGTCCTGAGGAAGGACTGGAATTCTGAAGCAGTAAACTGAGCCCCATTGTCTGATACTAAGATGTCTGGAAGCCCGTGTGTTGCAAAGATTCTGCACAGTTTCTGGATAGTCCTGGAAGTAGTCATATTGGGAACTGGTGCAACCTCTAACCATTTTGAATGGCTATCGACCATTATTAAAAACAGCTGTCCCTGAAAGGGCCCAGCAAAGTCAATGTGGATTCTTGACCATGGTGTGTGAGTGTCCTCCCATTGGTGGACAGGGGCTTGTGGCATCTCCAGTCTGGACTGTTGACACATGATGCAACCATGTACTTGGGCCTCGATAGCCTTATTTAGCCCAGGCCACCAAAGGTAGCTCCTTGTGAGTGCCTTCATCCGGACTATTCCCGGATGGCCCTCATGCAGAGACTCAAGCACTCTGGGTCTGAATGAGCTGGGAACTATGACCCTACTTCCCCAAAGGATGCACCCTTTATGAGCTGAAAGCTCATCTTTTCGCATGAAAAAGCTCTGAAATTCTGGGCCTGGACATTTGTCTAGCCATCCTGTGTACACCCAATTCAATACACGACTCAGTATTTTGTCAGCTGCCGTCTCAGCAGCTACATTCCCAGCGTGAAGGGGAGACTCCAGCAGATCCTGGATAGCCAGGATACATGCAGCTGGAGCTGGAGCTGGCTCTACATGTGGTAGGGGCAACCTACTAAGGCTGTCTGCATGGCCCATTTCTTTGCCCGGTTTGTGAACCAGCCTGTAGTTGTAGGCTGACAGAAAAATAGACCACCTCAACATTCAAGGCAACAGAATCTGGGGTGTCTGTTTGTTCATAGTGAACAACCCTAGGAGTGGCTTGTGGACTGTAAAGACTGTGAACTGGCAACCATACAAGTAGTCATGGAATTTTTTAACTCCAGCCACGATTGCCAAAGCCTCCTTATCAATTTGCGCGTAGTTGCGCTCTGTGGATGACAGGGTCCTAGAATAATAGGAGATGGGAGACTGTTTCCCATCAGCTGACAAATGGCTCAACACAGCCCCAACCCCATATGGAGATGCATCACATGCGATGCAGACTGGCAGCCTTTTGTTAAAATGCGTGAGTACAGAGTTGTCCAAGAGCCAGTGTAATGGCTCTGCTACGCGCCTTGTTTGGAAGGAAGGCATGGTAAAAATTAAGAAGGCCCCAAAAGGCCTGAAGCTCTCCCTTGGACTTCGGGCTTGGGGCCTGCTGAATCGCTTTCAGCTTTGAGTCCACTGGATGGATGTTGTTGGCATCGATGCGGAACCCCAAGAACTCCGTTGACTCAACCCCAATCTTGCATTTTTCTTTCTTTAATCTTTAATTTAATTAGAGCCACTGAAGGACGGCTCTAAGCCATTCACCCAGGATCTTTGCAGTTTCTCTGGTGATGAGAACATCATCAAAGTATAGGAAGACCCCTGGAATGCCCTTGAGCGTTTGCTCCATTACTCCCTGGAAAATCCCTGGGGCTACACTCATCCCAAACTGTAGGCACTTGACCTTGAAGGCCTCCCGATGGGTGACGATGGTTTGGGTGGCTGCCGTGGCCTCGTCCACCGGCAGCTGTTGGTAGGCCTGTGCCAATCTAATTTGACGAACACACAGCCACCTTGCAATGACGCCAAAATATGTCTGACAACTGGCACTGGGTACGCGTGCTGCTGAAGTGCCCAGTTAATGGTACACTTGTAGTCAGCACATATTCACACTTCCCCATTGGCCTTTAGTGGCATTACTATGGGGGTCTCCCACTCCCCACTGTCTATGGGCTGCAATACCCCCTGACTGACCAGCTTGTCCAACTCTGTGTCGATTTTTTGTTTTAAAACAAAAGGCACTCGACGAGGCTTGATCCGTACTGGCGTTACCATAGGATCAAGATTGAAGGCTATTGGAGGACCCTTGTACTCCCCTAGGCGTGAACTGAAAATATCTGAGAATTCTTGGCAGACTGAAGACAAATCCGCCATTTGTGTCCGGTGAATGCCGGTTACTTGAATGCCCAATGCGTCAAACCAATCGAGCCCTATGAGGCTCATGCATTGGCCTTCTACCACAACAACAAAGGGGCCTGCAAACCCCTTGAAATTCACTAGAAGTGTGGCTTCACCCTTGACCACCACTCGGGAGTTTTGGAAGTCGGTGAGCATTAAATTAGATGGCCGAAGTTTGGCCCATCTATTGCTGCGGCTGCATATGTGCCTAAATATTCTATAGAGATGATGGACATGGCTGAGCCTGTGTCTAGTTCCATCTTACATGGAACTCCCTGAAGCTTGACTTGGAGTCGAAGCTTCGGCTTAAGGGGGTGATGGGCACCAGTGCTGAGAACGCTCCTTCAGCTGGTGCAGAACCCTACTTGGGGTTGCCCCGGGACCCCAGTACCTCTCCTGATTGAGTCTTCCTGTGGATGGTCCCTCTGGCGACCTCGACAGACGGCGGCAATGTGGCCTGACTTGCCACATGGCCGGCACGTTGCTGTACATTAATGACATTCCGTGAGTTGATGGCAGCCTCCACAACCCATGCACCTTCTCTTGGTTCCTCTGTAGCTTGTCGACTTCATAGTCTGAGTCGATGTCTTCCCTTCGCTAGGTGTCCTCGTGGTGGACTGCTTTGGTGCTTGACACATTTTTGGAGGGCCGCAGTGCTTCAACGGCCCCTCCGGCGGCTTCGTCCACCATGACCTCCTTTAAGGCCTCCTGTAGCGAGAGAGTCTCCTTAGCGAAAAGTTTTTGTTGGAGCTCTCGATTCCAGAGGCCGCAGACTAGACGGTCCCTTAGTCTCTCCTCCAAATCTGTGAAATTACAGAGTCAGGATGCTTGACGAAGAGCGGCGATGAATTCTGTGGCCAATTCGCCGGGTTGTTGCTCCCGCTGCTCAAAAGCATGCCTCCATGCTATCATGGATAATTTTGGCTCAAAATGGTCTCAGAGCCTTTTCTTCAAGGCCACATAGGTGACGGACTTGAGCGGCGTCGGGGCGACCAGGTTTTCCACAATGTCGAAGGTGGCGGGGCCGCACATGCAGAGGAGGGTCATGGCCTTCAGTCCATCTTTGGCGACCTGGTTGGCGCAGAGGTAGTTTTCTACGTGGGAAATATAGGACGCCCATAGCTCCGGGTGGTTGACGTCAAACTGTTTGAGTTTCCCCACTTTCGCCATGGTAAGTTGCTTGCGTTTCTTGTTGCTCACGTTGCCTTGTGCTGCTGGCTTCTGCGTAGGCCCTAGGATGGATCCTTAGGGCGTGGTGGTCTCCAGCATGGCTTGCTTGGCAGACCGAGGGGGGGAAACGTAGTTCCCGCCAGGCTCTGTGATGGCCTCACCCCCTAGTGACTTCAGACTCTTATGATGAAGCAGAACATCCCACATTCATCGCCACTGTTAAGTATTTGGTTCTTGAAGGCATTAAGCGAGATGAGTGTTGAAACAGCAACAAGTTTATTTAACTCTGAACAGAAGCAGCTCAGATAGCTATTTATATGGTTAGCCTCCAGGCGGCAGCCAATAGGTTTAAAGTAACAGTTTCCCACCCAAAACCTAATTACCAGCCTGGAGACAGCAAGTCTGGCATAAGTAACAACAGCCGTTACGTAACAACAGAATCTAGGTCAGACATTCAAACAAGTGATTAGACATTAAGCAAGTGATTCAAAACAGTTGTGACCAATACATTACACTTAGGGACTATCTGTATTTTATCAGATAGCTTAATGCTACTATTGCACTGTAAAACAAGGAGCTTAATCTCAAACAGGAGTCAGAAACCTTGTCAAAATGCTAGTGAGTATCATATGAAACAACTTGTTCACATCTTTACTTTTGCTTAGTCCATTAATTCTATACTGTAGCTAAAAAAAATTGTTCTCCCAACACTTAATATCTCCCAATATTCATTTAGCACATCCTTCCTGCAAACCTGGAGACATTTACCTTACAGAGTTAATGGACTCCTTTTGGTCCAGGATTACATTTTTAATGGGAAGATTGAGCAGGCAGGAGGAAAAAGAGAAAGTGGATGTTGCTTTGTGAAATGGAGCATTATAACAGTGTTTATGTAATACTGTGAATATGGAATTTTCTATCTCTTTCTATTTTCTGTGTGTTTATATTAAAGAGAGGCTATAGAGCAGTGGTGGTGAACCTATGGACAGGTGCCAGAGGCAGCACTCAGAGCCCTCTCTGTGGGCACGTGCACCATGCCCCAGAGATGGCAACTGTCCTTCTTCAACCAGTCGCCTGCTAACTTGCCTGCTAACTCGCAGAGGTCCCACGTGGCCGGATGCATCCCGGCACAGCTGGTTTCCCTCCCCCCCATCCCGTCCCTCCTGAACTCGCATGCTCTCCTTTTCCTGGGCACGACCCACTGCATCACCTCCTCAGCTGTTGGCCGGCCATCCAGCTCAGAGGCGGCTTCTTTGAACTGCTGGTGGCGGGCTGCGGAGCCCCAGAGTGCACCAGTTGAGGGGCCAGCAGGCTGTGGCTGCTGACGGACACTGTCGGCCCCCATGTGCTCTCTGGCCTCTGTGTGCGGGGGCCGCAGTCATCCCGGCCCTTGCCTTGCCCCATGGCAATGGCACTCCTGCCCTGCCTCGCCTCACCCCGCAGGACGAGCGTCCTGCCTACCGCCCCATCTGCCAGAGACCCTCTGGATATCCCCCAACCCTGTCCGGCCTCCACAGGCATCCCTCCCCACGAGCAACATTGAGGTGACCACGCCTACCTTGGCCACACCCATCCAATCTGCCATGACCACCATAGCCATACCCACCCAGTGTGCCATGCCCACCTGGCACTCAGCGATAAATAAGTGGGCTTTGGGTTGCAATTTGGGCACTCAGTCTCTAAAAGGTTCACCATCACTGCTAAAGAGAAAAAAATTCATGCAATATTTCCTATCTAGAATGCTTAAAAATATCATCTGTAGCTCTTTCTAGCTTTACAAAGCTGACATTAAGAATGAAAATAAAGTAGATCACAACCTACTACTCGATAAGATAGAAAAATGTGGGTTAGACAGCATCACCACCAGATGGATTCGTAGCTCTCTGACCGGCCGTACTCAGCGTGTGGTCCTCAATGGAACTGCATCTACATGGAGGGAAGTGTGTAGTGGGGTGCCCCAGGGCTCTGTTCTAGGCCCAGTGCTCTTCAACATCTTCATCAATGATTTGGATGAGGGGATAGATGGGGAACTCATCAAATTTGCGGATGACACCAAGCTGGCAGGAATAGCCAACACTCCAGAAGACAGGCTTAAGATACAGGAGGACCTGGACAGACTTGAACACTGGGCGCTATCTAACAAAATGAAATTCAATAGTGAAAAAAGTAAGGTTCTACATTTAGGCAAGAAAAATCAAATGTACAGGTATAATATAGGGGGTACCTTGCTCAATAGTAGTAACTGTGAGAGGGATCTCGGAGTCCTAGTGGACAATCACTTAAAT